GTAGGTTAGGACTCACAGTGCCCCTGCGTAGCATTTCCGAGGAGCGACTTGTGTACTTGAACCACCAACCTCATGGTTCAACCTGACCTTGCAAGTTCAGTGCATTGACTCTCTGTGCCCCACCAGGACTCCATGTAGCTGGTAGGAGGCAGATCTCAGCGGATGGAGCAGCTTGAAGCCCAGTTGGTTAAGATCAACAGGTGTCAGATAGTGAACAGTAGAAAGCCTGATTTGATGTGATGATCTAGAGTATCATCAACAAGCAGCTTAGGAGAGCGAGTGTTGGGTGTTGTTGGGTCTGGTCCATGTACAAGAGTAGAACTGCTGCCCCACATGCTTTTCTTGGCGCTAATCTTTTTTTCTTTTTGACTCTTCATTGTGAATTGAGTGAAGATTTACAGAGCCGATCATCAGTTTTACATTCAACAAATCATACCCTTTGCTTCATTACATGGTTGCAATTCCCTCTGTACAAACAGTGAACAGCATTTCCTTCCATCCACTGTAACTATTTTGCATGAACCCTGTGTCTCCTGCTACCTTTATCTTGCTTCTGCTAACCTGCCTCTTGTATTGCCTGCTGCCACCCATGTTAGCATGTGTCTACCCTCTAGCCCACAAATAGTTTCCCTCCCTTCCCCTGTGACATATTGATCTCACATGTTGTTGTTGTTAAGTACTGTGGAGTTGGTTCCAACTCAGTGATCCTACATAGGGTTTTCGAGGCTATAAATTTTTGCGGGAGCAGTCCGCCTCATCTTTCTTCCACAGAACCACTGGTAGTTTTGAACTGCCGACCTTAAGGTTAGCAACCCGATTCGTAACCACTGCGCTGCCAGAGCTCCTTATTGATCTCATATAGTATTTGTAATTTCACTCAGCATAATGTCATTTTGTGAGGTGTTTCACAGATGGATCATTATTCTTAAATGTTTTATGGTATTCCATTGTGTGTATGTAGCAAAGTTTGTTTAATTGTTCTTCTGTTGATGGGCTCAGTCTCTTGTAGGCAGCATATTGAAGGATGCTGTTTCCTTATTTGTTTTGCTCTCTGTCTCTTGATTGGTACTCCATTTATAGTCAGTGTAGTTATCAATAGGTTTGAATGGATAGCATTTTTCTGTGTGGTGTTGCTGGGTTTTGTTCTTTGCTAACTTCATTTTGTTTGTGGGTTTTTGTTTTCATTTCTGTTGTGTTAGTTAATGTTTATAAAATCTTTCTGATTCTCCTTTTTTTATTTTGATGTATTATTTTACTTTGAGATTTTACCCTTTAATTTATTAATTTTTTTCTCTGCTTAAAAGAGTGTTTTATCTTGGAAAATTATTGACTTCCTTGTCATTTGGAAGTTCTGTATCTACACGAATCCCATTTTTTCTTTGTAGTTGACTTCATTATACATTGCTATCTCTGGTTCCCTATTTCCAGTCTTGTGGTTATTTTGCTTTAACTACGTGCTAGTATGGCGCTGTGGGCTAATGTGCTGGGCTGCAAAATTGGTTTGAACCACAAGGTCACCGATTCAAGCTCTCCAGCTGCTCCTTGGAAACGCTATTCAGGGTCATTGTAGGTTGGAACCAACTCAACAGCTCTGGACAACAATCTCTGGCTTGAGTTCTCGGTGGCGTTGTCGTATATGGTTATCTCAGGATACTGTCTACTGTTGGCTCTCAGTATAAAGAACACCGATTAGCATTTTTTGTGAAGTTGGTCTGGTCATTACAAATGCCTTTCATTTCTTTTTATCGGGAAATGTCCTAATTTCACCCTCATATTTGAGGGCAGCTTTGCTGGGTATATGATTCTTGGTTGGCAGTCTTGCTCTTTTAGAGTTCTGTATATGTCATCCCATTGCCTTCTGGCCTGCATGGTTTCTGTTGAAAAATCAGAGCTTAGTCTTATTGGTTCCCTTTTGTAGGTAACTTTTCATTTTTCCTGAACTGCTCTCAGGATTTTTTCCTTGTCCTTGATTTTAGAAATTTTGATTATGATATGTCTTGGTGATTTTCTTTGGGATCTCTCCTGTTTGGAGTTCCTTCAGCTTCTCGTGTGCTGCTTGTCTTTCGTGATGTGTTAGGTAACTTTTCTTTCAACAACTCTCCAACAATCTTCTCTGTGCTTGTTTCTAACTGTTCTGGAATTCCCATTATCCATAAGTTGGTTTTTCAGTTAGTTGTATTACCTTTTCTTCTTCAGAAATGTTTTCTGACTGCATCTTGGTCATTTGTTTAGCCATTCCATTCTCTCTTGTTTCTTGTGTGAACTAAAATTGTCTGTTGTCTCCAGGCCATTGTGGGATTGTTGTTTTTGTAAAAACAAGCCATGCAGTTCTTGGACCCAGAGGGAGGGGAGAGATCTCTGGGTGGCGCTCACGAAGTGACTATGGAAGGGATGTGACAGAGGTCCTGGCCCTAGATGGAGTTCCTATTGGTATCGTGTTAGTCTGTGTTCTTGTAACTCAATCTGGATGTAGGTCCTGGAGGTCTTGATGGAGCTGGGGTCAGGGTGACTGGTTAAATGCTGGTCTAGTGGCTCCGCAGGTTATGTAGGTCTAGGGCTGAGCTCACCTGAATCCAGTTTCCCAATTTCGTGACTCTCAGCAGGGTCTTTGCTAGAGTGGATGAGGGTGGGAGCTGGCCACACTTCTGGTCACACCTTCCCTGTCACCCGACACCAAGGACTTGAGGTTAAACTAATAGGGATGAAGGTTCACACAGCAAATTGTGGTTTAAGAACGAACCTAAACTGCCCATTACCGAGCCAGAGAATTAAACCACTGCCATAGAGTTGGCTCATTTGTTGGTTGTTAAGTGTTGTCCAGCAGTTGCAACTCATCGCCACCCTGGATAGGGTTTCCAGGGAGCAGAGTGACCCCAGTCTAAGGTTTCCCAGATTGTAGGTCTTTACAGGAGCAGAAGAGCCCTCACCCTTCTCGCTTGGAGAGACTAATGGGTTTGAACCACCAACGTGGTGGCTAGGAGAGCCCATTGCATAATCCTCCATGCTACCAGGGCTTCTGCCTGAGACTTTGGTGCTGCTACACAGTATTTTACTACCAGATCGCTTTTTTTTTTTTTTTTTTTAAGGTTTTTTTATTGTGGATTGAGTGAAAGTTTACAGGGCAGATCATCAGTTTTACATTAACAAATCATATACCTTGTTTCATTACAATGATTATAATCCCCTCCATGTACCATCAGTTTCTCTCTATTCACTTTAGCTCATTTTTTGTTTTGTTTTGTTTTTAAACACTCAGGCATATATAATCATTTAAACTACCAAAGGGCACATTCTGCAAGTCTGCCTCCTGGCCACCAGCTCTCAGTCCCTCTCTTCCCATGAATCTAGAGTCCTCAGCTGCGCCCCGTCTCCATGCCCCCATCTGTGCCTCTGTCTCTGGCGTCACTGTTCCTCTCTTGATGGTCCTAGGGTCTTCTGTATCTGGACTGTAAGATTACTCCCCTGTTACTGTTAGAAAACTTCTACCTTTACAATTGTGACAGTTGCAATTAGTCATTGTAACAGTTATTCACTATTGAATCTTACGAATCTTATTCCCATCTCTTTTCACCAGACCCATCTAGACAAGAGAACAGCTATTCAGTGGGGACTCTTTCTTCCCCTACACACTCTTTTTATCTATTTATTTTTGTAGTCTTTCTGTAGGTGAGTTCTGATTATCAAGTCATCGAGCCTAGGTCAAAAGGGTACTGTCTGGAAGTTTGGGTGTTCTTGTGCGTCTCCCCTCACTTCATATCAGCTGATTGCTTTTACGCTCAGCTCTAGCCCTCTGTGACTATGTCCTTGTCCATGGGCTCAAGTGTCCTCAGGTCTCACCACACTTTGGACCAAACAGTCCTTCCTCCTCTCTCTCTTATCTCCAGGTCAACGGAAGTCAAGTCAGCCCATTTCTTCATTGTTGCCTTTCCCCCTCTTCCACTCACCAGTAGCCCATGTAAGCCAGCCAGCTTACATGACTGTGTGTGTGTGTTCCCTTTGAGTTTCAGTCTTAGAGGGGAATTTGCCCTGAAGGAACTTGATTGCTTGCCTTGTTGGCTTCCTGACTGCCGGATCTGTTGGGAACTGTTTTAAGAAGTCTTAAAATGATAGTACTTACTATTCTTGTCGCTGACTTCAAAATGACATCAGAGAATCACTGGAGGATACCCAGAACTGGTCACCAAACAGCTGTGCTCCAACAACACAGAGATGCATTCCAGTGTGGGGACACTGCACTGCAGTGGTCATGACGAGGCATTGATTTGTTTAATTAGGGGTTTTTGTCTTAAGTCCTTTGAGCCCTTGTCTTTACAATGCAAGTCATCTATTGATACAGGTGCTCCTAACACACGCTTTGGGCCTTATAGGGCTGGAATAGCCTCAGAGCTTGCCAAAAGTTAGCTCTGCTTTCTGAGCAAACCTAGCAACATTAGAAGCTGCTAACTTAGCAGTCACTCGCCTGATTGACTACGTGGCTTTGGAATCTTCTAGTCATATCTCTCTGAGCAGCTGAAGGTAGCTAGCTGGTGGAGGATACCGAGTGGTTCCCCTTGTGTTTTTGCAGCTCCCATGGCTGCGTTTTCATTGGACACATATACACGTACTCCTACCCTCGGGTAGGTAGTAAGGAGCTCTGGTAGCGTAGTGGTTACGAGTCGGGCTGTGAATCTCATGGTTAGCAGTTTGAAACTACCAGCTGTTCCGTGGGAGAAAGATGAGGCTTTCTGCTCCCGTAAAGATTTACAGCCTCAGAAACCCTGTACAGGGTCGCTATGAGTTGGAACTGACTCCACAGCACACAACAACAACCACCCTCTGGTCCAGGCTGGTTCTTGCTTCTCTGTCTTTGATATGTACGCCTTTATGGCGAAAGGACGTTGGACAGTAAGGAAGCCCTCTGCAGGACTGGACAGTGACACGATGAGCATGGTGGCGGCCCGCAGGGCGCAGAGTGCTTACCCGGCAGGCTGTCCTGACTTTGCTGCCCTTCTGTCTCGCAGGTATTTTATGCACGGGGTCTGTAAGGAAGGTGATAACTGCCGCTACTCGCATGACCTCACCGACAGTCCATACGGGGTCCTGTGCAAGTACTTTCAGCGAGGCTACTGTATCTACGGAGACCGCTGCAGGTGAGCCCATCTTGGTTTCGGGAGCATCGGGGGGCAGTAAGAGGGAGTGCCACAATTCCAGTGGCTTTATAAACAATATGGTACCAACACTTAGTGCTTTGGAAAAGTGCTCCTTGGGAATGTTTGGAATTTAAAAACAAACCACACTCAGTGCTCTAGGGTCCATTCCAACTCACAGTGACCTGCGGGACACCATACAACTGCCCTATGGGGTTTCTGAGGAGGACAGTCTCAGCTTCCTCCTGAGGAGTGACTGGTGGATTTGAACCACCATCCTTTTTGTTTAGTAGTCAAGTACTTAACCACTGTGCCACCAGGGCTCGCTGTATTTGTGGCACCAACAGAACACTCTGGAGGTGGAGAGGAGTGGAGTGTTTGTGTGACATTTTTTGAAGGGTTGTAATGGCTGTAAGTGGACTTTGTACCTGTGGGACATAACTACAGACCGGATCAGGGATTGGATGAGGTGGTGTGTGTGTACTTGAGGCTTCTCCTCCATTCCTTTTCTCACTGGGAACGAGGTGCTTGTGACCAAACCAGCCCTCCGCCATCAATCACATCATAGGCCTTGGAGGCAGTAGTTTCGGTTCTTTGAGAGGGTTTGTCCTGTGGGTCCCCAGAGCTCAGCAGGCTGATGGCCAGGCTCCAGGGCAGCCAAGCTGGAGGGGTGTGCTCAGGAGTGTCCCTCCCTGCGTGGTAGAAAGCTGAGTGACCTAGAGCTTCTGACAGTCTGGAAACTGGGGAGGGCCTTCTCTGGGTGGTTCGGGCGTAGGGTCTCTCGCACGGTGACACAGGAGAAGGCTGGCCGGGATGGGAGGGCCTCTTTAAGGTGGTGTACTTGTGGCTACTGGCCAGGCCTCAGTTTCTCAGCAGGTGGTGAACTGAGCCAGAGAGAATGAGGCCACAATGCCTTTGTGACCCAGGCGCAGGAATTACCCTGCCAGCTCACTTGCCACTCTGCATTTCCCACCAGCAAGTCACTCAGCCTCCCCTGTTCCAGGGGGCATGGGGACTTGGTCTCCACCTTTTAAAGGAGGCCTGCCACAGCATAGGTGGGCAGTTTTAAACTACCAGGCCAGGTAAGACTTTTTGGCACCAACTTAGCAAATTCTCATATCATTTTTAAGTGTGTGGTCAAGTCGGTTCCAACTCATAGTGACCTTATATAGGGTTTCCAAGGATCTGCTGATCCTGTAGTGTTCACATCAGGAGTCCTAAAGTCCAGTAGACTCTGAAATTATTCCTGGATGGGATACAATATTAAATCATCCCACACCTCTTGTATTAGGGAGTCTGCAAAAGATGGGCGGGGAGATGCTGCTTTTCATGAGACCATGGGAGCTCAGAAACTTATCTTTTGACATCTGAGTTCAAGAACCCCCTAGTAGTGCACCGGTTAAACACTCCTCTAGGAATAGAAGGTCAGGGGTTCAGATCTACCTGATACTTCACAGGAGAAAGACCTGTTTCATAGTGAAGATGGCCTTGGAGACCCAACAGGGCAATTCTTCTCAGTCCCTGTGGGATCACTCGGAGTGGGAAGTGGAAATGGAGGACTTGACGGCCAAGGCTTTGGCGTTGGGGGTTTGTTGGGTGGGTAGGTGGGGATCTGAGTTTAATAGTCATTTTGCTCATTGATAATTTTTCATTTCTGGGAAGGAAAAATGACACTTCCTTCTATCCAGTGTGTGTGTGTGTGTGTTGGGGTTAGGAGTGGGGTGTAGAATATTACCAGTCATGTCTGCAACAGCCACAGTGTGGAGGAACCAGTAGTCACATCCGCGCTGCTATGAAGAAAGCAGTTCTTTGTAATCAGCTAATCTCTAGGTTTTCTAGACCAAATTATTGCAGACTATGGTAGAGTGGGATTGGAGGATGATGAAAAGGGCGAATTTGAGGTGCCCGGGAGAGATAGGTGGAGAATTTTTTTTTTTTTTAAGTCCACATAGTGATCTGTTAAATTGTTTCTTTTTATACCTTGTTTTTTCTATAACTTTGTATTGTGAATTGGGTAATAAACAGTGTGCCGTGCAGAGCAGATCATCAGTTTTACATTAGACTGTTCATGCTTACATTGTTTCCTCCTCACTGATTGTAACCCACAGCACAACCCCCTTCTCCCCCTTCTGTCTGTGCTTCTGCTTCCTTCTTCTTGAACCCTGCTGAACTGTGTTCTGGGGGAAATGCTGCCCCTTTGGTCTCAAATGGTTGATGGGTGACTTTAAGATGTGCATACTTCCTTGGAGTCCTGGTGTGGTGTTGTGAAATAAAACACTGGATCGCAAGAGCACTCTGAACCGCAAAGTTGGCAGTTCAAAATTCACCAGCCACTTCTGGGAAACCCTTTGCCGAGTAGGTGTAAGTTGCTACCATTTGGAAGGCTTGTCACAACCACAACAGCACACCTCCTTGTGTAAATGTTCTCCGGGGAGATTGAGCCACAGGGGTGAGTTCATCTCCAGGGGGTTGCCCAGTCTATCCAGCCAGTAAACCCGGGCTTGTTTATGATTTTGAGTTTTGTCTAGTCCCAGTATGGCACTGTGGGGGATAGTGCACTGCAAGGCCCATTGTTCTCATGTGTCTGGTTTTTTTATCATTCTTCCAGACAGGGAGAGACCAATAGTTCTTCATGTTGTTGTTAAGTGCTGTCAAGTTGGATCCGACCTGGCTGTTAATGAACTTTAGGAGCCTAGTCGCTGTTCACCAAAGTAGGCTGTGGAAGGCTGTCTTTGTGGATTGTCTATTACACCAGTAGACCTTGGTGTGACCCCTGAGACCATGGTCCTGGAACTCATTTTCTCAAGGTATTTGATTATATCTAAGAAGGTCTCAGAACGTTGGCCCCGGTATGCTCTACCATGTGGAGACTAGATTCATGTTAGTTCATGTTCTTGAGGTTGGGCGGCCATTCTCCTCTTTTCCAAATGATGCCTGCAACGTACAGTGGTTTTTCTCGGGGCTGGTGTGACAAAATGCCACCAGCCACCAGGCGGGTGGCTTTAAATAACCAGAATTGATGGTCCCTTAGTCTGGAGACCGGAATCTGAGGTCAAGGTGTCAGCTTGGTTGATTTTTCCTAAGACTACTGGGAGTCCTGCAGATGGACAAGTTAGAGAAGGACTCTTTACAGAGGTGGTGGTTCAAGATTGCTGCGAGCACTATTTACAATAGCAAAAAGATGGAGACAGCCAAAGTGCCCATCAACTGAAGAATGGATAAACAAACTGTGGTAC